TTTAGTCCTCCATCTACTCTTGAAAACATTTAACATTATTTTAACAGGGCAAAGCCCTTTCAAGATGGCATACAAGCTACATATCTACTGCACAAACATAATTAAAATACTACTGATTACAGGTTAATCAGCAGGCCCCAAATTGAGTGAAAGCCACCAAAATAAATTATTTTCAGCGCTATCTTGAATACATGCAATGAAAGGGCCTGATGGTTCCCTGATGGAAGCTCACTGCAAAGGCTGGGGCCACTCCTGTAAAGGCCCTGACCTTATGTGGATGAACTGACAGTGTTGGCAAGTTGGTATGGATGTAGGCAGTCTTTCAAGTAATTTGAGGCCAAACCATTTAAGGCTTTAATGGTTAAATTCGGACCTAAACTTGGTCTCAGAAATGTACTGACAAATGCACTGTTAACCAATCAACTCCCAGGACAGCTGAATGGCCATAATCTGCATGTTTTCAATGTACAAAGGCAACTCTAAATACAGTAGTTGTTCTAAATGTCACTAACACATGAACTGAAGTTAAGATTGGATTTCTTCACAAAGTGTCACAACTGGCATAGCATCTTAGTCTCATAAAAATTATTCCCAGCCATAGAAGCCACCTTAGGTTGCCCACTTAGCTCCAGTTTCCAAAGTGCTCATTTGAACCTGTCTGGAAAAGCAGCCTCATCTAACAGTAAATATAATCATCTAACCAGATTGGCCAGCTTCTTTACCCCCACAGCAGCCTCTCATCTTGCCTTGTCTAGATTAAGTTTCAGCTTTTGAACCCTCACCCATCCCAAATGGCCTTCAACATCTGTTCATGCATTCTACAGTCTCCCTGTTAGAAGAAAATAAGTGGATTCTATAAACCTTAGCCCACATACTGAATGACTCCTTGGTGGACGCATCTGTGAAAAGTTGACTTCCATCCCTTCTCTTCAGGTCTGCCGTAATACAAGCAAGCTCAGCAAGTTCTTTTAGAATTTAAGCTGAGATAAAGAACCTTTTCCTGTTATTTGACTTAGTATTCACCAGGAGCTCCCAAAGACTAAGAGACTGCAGGGAAGTACCTAGAATCACTGAGGCTGCGAGACAAACCAGAAGGGAAAACATTATTCAGACAAATTTTTCACTGTCATAGTGTCCTCAGAAAATGATGTCCTGTTTTATCATCTCTAAAACTCCTAATGCTCAAAACTGGATTTTCTGGATGAACCTAGATTTTCTGGCCAGTGAACTGACTGAAGTCAATGTTAGGTCCTGCCACATCAGGTCCTAACTCACTGGAGAGAGATTTATCATGTAGAATGACTCTACCAGTCCCTAACTTCCTAGTCTCTTCACTCTAAAGAGCACTAGAAAGGTAAATAATTCCCAACCACTAGCCATGCTGACTGTGGCTGATAGGCACTGGAGACCATCAGCTAGAGACTCAGGACTTCTCAGCCTAAAGCACTCTTGAGGCTCTTCTATGTGCACGCACTGCTCTGATCTGAAATTAGTGCCTTGCCTCTTTGTATCCATCATGCTGTGGGGTGGCATGGTTTTACAAGCCAAGCTAGCTGTTGTTCCAGAAGCTTTGCCTCAAGTTGCAGAGAAGCCAGCTTCCCACTGATTGGAATCCTCCCCCGCCCCCCGCTCAACGTCCTCCTCTCCTTGAAGCCAGGGTACTTTATTGCCTACATCCATCTTTCCTGGCTGCTCTGGCGGCTGCATGGCAGCCAGTTGGTTTTTCCCCTCACCATGAAAAGCAGCAAGGCCATTTGCAAAGCATCACAAGACTGTTATGGAGAGCATGAAGGGTGAAGCCAGCGCTTGTGTGAATGCTTTTAAGGGAAGGAGATTGCATAAACTCACTGAGCTCCTTATTTTGTTCATGAATTCTATTTCACTGAGAAAGGTTTCCTCAACTTCACTCCATAATTTCCTTTTCTGCAGGGGAGAACGTAAGCAACTGCCATTCTTCACTCCCATTATTCTTTCAATTATTTCTCTGCTGCCCTTTTGTGTTACACTAAGTTTATGCAGTTATCCACCAAATCTCATCGAAATTTGTAGCTCTGCTTTGAATCCTTTAAATTTCTCAACTAAATTCTTCTCTCTCAGAGCCAGCCCAGGAACACATATCCAGTCACAGACTGGTAAAAGAATTTAAGTTTAGTTGTATGTTTTATTTACTTTCACCTTCTTATTACTATCTACAACAAAAAAACAAAAATTTAGAGTGCTTCAGAATGGAGCCTTTCTTCCGAGAGAACTAATGGCAGCTATCATTTCATACAAGGTCTCAGCCAAGTGATGGATGCCAAAGATTTAATGCTTTCTTTCCATTTCATCTTGGACTTTGGCTCAACTTTTTGGATAAATCAGGCTTAGAGTTGATCTCAGTCACCACTGTATCAAGGCTTTCCCTGCTGTCGTCCATTTATTTTAAAGGGGGCGTAACAGCTAAGAAATATATAAATAATGGTGACAAAGTACAAGGTGAATACAACTCAGATGAGAGCAGGCAGACTTTTAAAAAGGAGGATGCTTAAGCATTTTGCACAGGCAACTGTTAATGGATTAATACACAGTTCAATTTCATTAGAATCCATCATTTATTACCTAGAAACTAGACTCGGTGTAAAAACAAACCACAATAAAATATTAAAGATAAATATTATCCAATTATATGTTTTCTCCCTTGCTTTTATAAAGATGAAAAGATACAGGCAACGATTTTCCAAATGCATCTTTTGTTTGTGACCTGCTTGTACTGGGGCAGGAATGCTTGTATACATTCTGTAGTATAATGCAACACGTGACTAAGATCACCAAGTGGTGCCTGTGAGGATCAGTGTGTACAAGGATATGTAGAGAGTAAGGAAGATGGCCTTGACAGAGATATGCAAGCTTTGTTCCCAAAGCAGCAAGGGGTGAAACGTATCTTAAGTCCACAACAAATAGAAGATATTTGGAAATGGCTGAGGCAGACACCTCCCTAATTCACAGGAGTATAAGAATGGGAAGAAGGTACAGCACAAGGAGACTTGCAAGATTCTGTAATTATAGGCAATCTCAAGAAAAGTAGTTTTAGCCTTCCTGTGGAGTTGATTGCCTGACCTGGTCTACATGGTGGAGCTGACAGGATACTTCCATCTAGTCTTAATTAAAACAAATATATCAAAAGCTGGCCTGCTGCAAAGTCAATGGCCAACAACAACTTTATTTCCAAGAGGGCCACTGGATCCCACACAACCCTATAAGCATACTTCACAAATAAAAATGATAGGAGGCTACAGTTTTTCTGAAAGTGTGCCTCTTTTACCAGAAAAAAAAGTCAACAGTAAACTAGGATATGAAGCAATCTGGGAGGGCCAGAGGAAATGGAAGGGAGTATCTTCCCAGGCTGTTTTCTAGTAAATAGGCATTTTATGGCTGGCCATATCCACTATTGTAGCCATGTTATGAATTAGCAAATCCTACAATGGTAGCCATTTTTTGAGATCACACATAGCATTATTTCAAAATTTCACATGTACCCAATAGTTCAAAAAGACTGTGGGAATATTTCATGCGTGCTTCCTTATCACTGCCTCTAAATTATCTAATATATTGTAGCTCTGTCCTTTTTTAAGCCCATATCATACCTTTCTTTTCCCCTCTCAATATATACAAAATGCAATACTATTCACCAGAAATGCTCCCTGCGTCTATAGGTAGACACATGCAAGGCACATCAGAATCTTAAGTATTTAATTCATAGCAGGTCTATTCTGCTACAAGACAATAATTTTTTAAAAAATCCTGAAAGATAATATATAATTGTGATAAAGGTGGTAGGGAACAATAACTGAAGTGTGACAAAAGTCTACTGAGTTTCTTTCAATTATAGGAAAGCTACATCCTGAACAGGAGAATAGAGTGGGTCAAGTATTTTAAGGTCTCTCTGGGCTCTTCTCCTTATACTGTTCATCATGACTTCTTTCAGTGATTTGCAAGTACAAAATGTACAGTGTATGAGACACTGAGCTAATAAATTGTGGTAAGTGAAGACTTAACATCAGATTCCTTAGAGGTTTTTCAAATACAGTGGTACCTCGGGTCACGAACACTTCTGTTCACGAACAATTTGGTTCATGAACAGCTCCGTTCGCAAAATTTTGCCTCCATTCGCGAATGCCGGATCGGGTGATGAACATGACCCGCGGCCATTTTCCCTGCCATGACACGTGGTCGTGGCTTCCTG